CCTAAAGGTACTGCTTTTGCAATTTCTACTTTGATGGTATACAAAGTATTCCTGGTCTTCTTCTGTCTCTTTCCATATAAATATTGCCTTGGGTGCATTTTGTAGGTGCCAAATTTGTGCCTCAGAAGTTTATCTACCCAACTTTGTGCTTCTGCCAACAAATGCAGACGACTGCATATGAAATTGTCAATGGAAGCTACGTTCCTGCCGTTGATACTAATCAATCGAGTAGAAAAATTAAGGTACTAATTTATTTTATTCTGATTAGTATTTTCATTTATGTTTATTTTCGACTGTGTCTGTGAAATTCGGGTTCTGCCAAAGTGATTTTTTGTTGTTTGGTTTTCAGGACAAAGCTGTTAAAAAGCCGCTCGAAACTGTTGGTGCATTTCAGAAGCTTCCCATGGTGATGCCGTCGGTTGATATTCTGTACTCAGCATTGAGGAAAGCAAAGAGGGTCTCAGCTACAAAGGGTAAATGATTAGACTTACAAGAGCCCGCCTGTCTCTTAACTTCAAGCACTATTGCAATCTCTTGTTAAAAAGTTGTTTGATTTTAATATGAATGTTTGATAGGTATTGCTAATGCTGCAAAGCGTGAAAGAAACAAAGGCGCCAAACAACTTGATGCATTGATGAAAGTAAATTCTCAAACATATCCTTGAAAATTAAAATGCTTCTGTCTCTCATAGGAAGAAAGAAACTGAGTTTTGGTATTCTTCCTGTCGTTGAAGTTAGTTATTAACTTCAGGAACTTGCAGTTCCCTTGAGGACGTACAAGGAGAATTTCCCAGACAAAAAGGATTTGCACCCTTATGAACGGTCTCTAATTGAGTTGACTCTTGGAGATGGGAACTACGAGGAGGTAAATGTTTAGGCTTCAACATTCTTTCCTTTTGTTATCTTGGATTTCGGGAGTTGTTTTTGTTCTGTAGTGAACTGCAGTAGATGTGGCTCTAGTTCATTTGCAACCAACCTTCATATTTCCATCTTGCTGAGTGATCATTTTCCATTATGTTTTACATTTCTTTTTTTTTTTTCTCCTTTTTCCTTCCTGTTGACCTCTAATATGGGTCATAAGAACTCTAACTTCTTCCATGTCATAGCACATATTTATGCTTTTCCTTATGTTCAATCTTAATATCCTTCTTGATTGACAGGTCTTAGGAAAAGTTGATACTTTGAGGAAGAAACTAGTGTCAGTGGGAAAAGAACATGCTTCCTTCTGTGCCAAGGTTGCAAATTAGTTTTTATTATTATATGCCTATGTGCCTGTAATAAGTTCGCTTAATCCAGATTTGCTACTTGTTGGGTTAAGGTTGTACTGAAATCCTTGGTTGTGAAATCGCTGTTCAATTACATAAGAAGTTAGGAGACCTGATATGCTATGTTGAGAAGTAGAAATTGCTTGTATTATGGTCTTTGAGTTCTGTATTGTCTGTGACATTTCTATGTCGAAGATGTGAACAGACGTGTTGAAAGCAGAAAATTATTCACTTCATCTGAGAGCTTCTTAGAGTGTAAGCAAGGAATAAGTCATTTTTAGGGGCTTCTTAGAGTGTTTATCTTTCAGTGGCAGATATAGGTAAGAAAGGCCTTTGGTGTTTATTGATTTTTGTTTTTATTTATTTTATTATTTTTTTTTTCCTGTTAGAGAAATTATATTGGGTGAAAAGATGGTTCAAAGGACCATAAACTCTTTCATTCCTTGTGAAACAGAGGAAAGAACATCAATTTTAGGGTGACCTATACTTGAATCCTCCTCAGATAGTAATTACATCAGATTGTAATTTATAATAAAAATTCATACTGGTTGGTGTGTATTGCACTGGTAAACGTAACCAACAAGTTAGCTGAAGAGAATATGTTTATATTACTATTGGATCAATAGTATAAATTAACAATTATATTAAATATTATTTTACATTCATCTGCTTAAGAAATTGTTCACTTAGTCATATTTCTGTGTTGACTTCTGGAACATTATACCTGTATATAAACTTGCTGATGCCAGAATATATTTGCAATTTTTGGCAGTCACACACAAAGCGTGAAGCTGAGGAGCGACTGAGTGAGGTTAGTACTTTTGCGAGCACATTCTTTTTTATTGGATTTCTCCTTCATCTTTTAATTGCTCATGCCTGCAGGGAATGAAGAAAATTGAAGAAATTTTTAATAATGAAGGGGAAGCTGTAGATGAACTTTTGCATATTGCCAAGGTAACCTCACTTGCGTGAAATTTAATGAACTAATAGAAGTGCATACTGTATTCTTTGTACAGGTGTTGTGTGCTGTACACCAAGATATGTTGTTAACCTGTTAAAGGCATTCCATATTTTTCATTGTTCAGTTCATAAAAAAATTGTGACCAGGGAACTTTATTGGCTTGCGAAGAATGTC